TAATAAACATAGCTGGACTGAATTTGCATTGTCTCTTGGAGTTCCTTGGGCTAGGCCTGACAATAACAGAGCTATTCCACCTCCTTCTACCAAATAAGTAGCCAGGTTGATTTCTGTGTTCTTATCCAGTCCATCTGGCATTGTTTTGGTTGTTTAAGACTGTTAACAATGAAGAAAATAATTGGATTGGCAGAAATTGATGTCATTTTCCTGCTTCATTTCAATTTCTTAGGCCACAACTAAATTGTCCTCCTTCATATTTCCAACTTTGGCATCCCACTCTCCAACCACAATCAGCACATCATGCCTGCAAGTTCTGTTCATTTTAAACTGAACATAAACTCATCAACCTCCTCCTCTTCTGCATCACTGGTTGGAGCATAAATTGGTGCATAATTAACATTTCATGAAACAGAGATGATCTTCTTTCTTCCATTGTGTGGTTTCTGAAAAGCTTGTTCTTTCTTTGATTAATTTGGGGCAACAGGTTTGGCTAGTATAAAACATGTGTGAGAGAGAAAATTCCTCTGCATGAATACATGTCTTGATTTTTTTCACACAGTCCAATCCAGTCCAAACTATTGCAACTGAATCAAACCCAATCTATTTAACAGGACAAATAGAGGAAGAATCCACAGTAAATATTACACAATTTGCTGATTTATTTTCTCTTTCCTGTCCCCTTTCATACTGTCATCTTTTTCCTAAGGCATTGCTCAGTTCTTCTCAGGACCCTGCCCAGAGCCTTCTTCACCTGATCATTCCTCAGGCAGTAGATCATGGGGTTGAGAAAGGGTGTAATGGCAGTGTAGAAGACAGTGATTATTTTAGTGACACGTGACTGACCTTTCCCACTTGGAGCTACATACATTCCTGCCACAGAACCATAGAAAAGGGTCACCACCATGAGATGGAAAGATACGGTGGAGAAGGCCTTCTTCCTGCTACGTTGGTTAGAGGATTTGATCAGTGTAACAATTATAATGCCATAGGAAATAGTGACAAAGGAAAAGTTGCCCAATATAATCAAAATATTCATGGACATCTGGCTGATATAAGAAGCATTTTTAAAAGGCGGGCAAGCCAGGGATAGGAGGCCTTGATCACACACAAAATTGTCAATAATATTGGAGCCACAGAAGGACAGCCTGGAGATCAAAATTACTGGGACAGCATATCCCAAGAATCCAGCAATCCAGCAACCAGCTACAAGCTTGGAACAGTTTTTTTGAGACATAATTGTTGGGTAGCGGAGTGGGTGGCAAATGGCCAAGTAGCGATCTAATGCCATGGCTGAGAGGAAGAAGCATTCAGTGCTGCCAAATGAGCAGAAAATGTAGAATTGAAGGAAACAGGTGTGAAAAGAGATGATTCCTTGAGGAGAAGCTA